AAAAAAAAAAAAAAAAAAAAAAAAATTACCGTGGCAGATAATCTTTTGCATTAAATACATGCACGCACTTTTGGAGAAGAATCAAAATTTATTTTTACTACGCGCGACGTAGAGCCGCGAGGTACGCATGTTGCCTCCTTCCTGGTGGAACGCGAAGCGTTTGCGACGAATTACGCGGCCAGTCACTTTGTTATTATTCATGCGATCCTCAAAGTAGTCTGAGAACTCCTTATTTATGCAGTGGCAATTAAACCGCGCGTGTATGCATCATCGTGCTATTTCTGCCGGCATTATCACGCATCTCATTGCCTTGCATTATTTGACGGCGTCAGTCGAAGCGTTTAACGAAACTTGTGTAACCTTGAGATTTCTGGAGATAATCCGATAATTAAGCCGGGACGTAACTTGTTTTTTAACTGAAAGAGTACGTTTTAATGATACTCTGGTATATTGTCTTGACGCTCGTGCGACGTAAATTGCCGTCTAAAGAAAGAAACTAACTTCGTAGTAAAATATTTAAGTTCTTATCGAAGGCTGAAATAGGAATTAGAATAACGTTTTAAAGTTCATATTTGTAAAATAATTATATTTGTTCGCACTCATTAATATTAATATTAATGTAATTTATTAATACTGAGAGAATTAAGCTTTTGTGTTGTGTGTTTTCTATTTAAAGGCTGATCAACTCACAGAAGAACAAATCGCAGAGTTTAAGGAGGCGTTCTCGCTCTTCGATAAAGACGGCGATGGTACTATAACTACCAAAGAATTGGGCACGGTAATGCGGTCCCTTGGTCAAAATCCCACAGAAGCCGAACTACAGGACATGATTAACGAAGTAGATGCAGATGGTACATATCCTAATGTAGCTTTTCGACGCATGTCAATCGTAAATTATAAATTATTTTTGTACACAAAAATCAATTGTTTCGCTCCATTCCTCCATTTTCACTTGCGAACGTTTCTGTTAAACGTAAATATTATGTTTAATATAGAGAGCTTGTTTTTCTGTCGCAAGATGTCAAAAAAAGCTTCTTTTTCTTTTCATTAAAAGAGGAAAATAAACAATTTCGATAGAATCGACGTTGAAAATCTTGAAATTCTAGGTAACGGCACAATCGACTTCCCGGAGTTCTTGACCATGATGGCGCGTAAAATGAAGGACACGGATAGTGAGGAAGAGATTAGAGAGGCCTTCAGAGTGTTCGATAAGGATGGAAATGGTTTCATATCCGCGGCGGAACTTAGACACGTCATGACAAATCTGGGCGAGAAACTCACTGATGAGGAAGTAGATGAAATGATACGGGAGGCCGATATCGACGGCGACGGCCAAGTTAATTATGAAGGTTGTATTGCATTGCTTGATCTATTAATTACTATAAAATGGAACTTATTGTCGATATATCGCATATAGAATCTTTTAAGTATACATCATTTTACGGTATTTAAAGAATAATTGCCGTGCATATTTAATTTATAATTTTAATTAAAATATCGATGTTTGAGAGATATTTAAAAAAAATTTAGATTATGTGAGATAAAATCGAACGAAATTTGTAATTACATGTACGCCAATACTTCCTATATTCACGTAAACAACTTTTATCAACAAAATCGTTTTTCTTCTGCAAATTAATGCAATTCTCAATAAAGAAGTTTGCACAGTTGGTTCACGCGTAACTTCTCGTAACTTTTTGACGTCATGATAAGACATATCTGACTGTTTATCTTTCGTCATTATTTTACCGAAACCTATCATTTTGCAGACTTAGGTATAACGTAAACTAATGCGCACGTAACTAACAAGGCATTTCTTTCGTTTTATTTTTCAGAATTCGTCACAATGATGACATCAAAGTGAATGCAACCTGTGTAACGGAAGAACTCGCGACTCGGAGTGGTGTTGACGTATTAAATAATTCAAGAAACAGAGAAAAAACATATGTAACAAAACGAGAATCAACCAGAAAGTGACAAATCTTGTATCAGGATATGAAGATGTCTCTATAAAAGCGCGAAGAGTCAACGTCCGATACCGCGTTAAAAAAAAAATCATCGTTTAACGATAAGTAATACAGGGCAATTAATTGTTTAATTAAAGAGTTATACCACTAAAATCATTATCTCTCAAAACACAAATATTTACGCGTGTATACATACACATACACACATAACAATAACTCGTTACACCGATACACGAACGCAACACGCTCGAAGAGTATACACGTACACACATATACACATTCACTCGGATGTCTTATTTCCATTGGATAAAACAAGTTTGGAAGTGAGATAACGCGAAGACACAATTTGCGCGCGCATGTGCACCAACGACAAGAAAAAAAAGTGCATTTTCCACTTTCCTCTCTTTCTCGACTGCCCCTCCCCTTCCTTCCCTCTCCTCTTATCACGCCCTTTAGCACCATCGCCCTTCCACTCCTCCTCTCTAGGCCTCCATCTACCCTCCTTCATTTCCCGGAAGTTTTTTCATAAGAATGGCATGTCGAAGAATTGTAATTTCTCTTTACAAAGGGAGAGGAAATGTGTGTTAAGGGACAAAGTATAAATCCGATGTAAGATAATATTAAAAGCAGCAAAGGTTTTATTTGCCAATCGAGAGAAAGATTCATCTCGAGAATTCCTTCGTTCATTTTTTTAATAAACGAGATACGTGTATAGTGAATGATGACATTAGGATACGTAGCTGCTAAATAGATGATGATGTCTCTACCGTTAAAAATGCATGCACATGTACAAATGTTTGTTTGTCTCTGTGAGAGAGAATTCGGCCTGGACCGATCGTTTTCCAGATAAAGAGAGAAAGAGAGCGAGAGAGAGAGAGAGAGTATAAATACGATGCGTTTCGGCCTCTGGGTTATTGATGACGACTTTAAATGCAAAAGCTGTGCTGGACCCCTCGATGCCTCACAAACGAATAACTTAATTTATATAAGTAACGAGCGAGAAAATTTATAAAAAAAAAGAGATGAAAGAGAGCGAGATGAGATAATGGGAAGAAAGAATTGGAGGAGAAGCTTCGAGGAGCTCAGACCTAGTGCTTTCGCGCGCGTCGCGTCTCGCGAGACGGGATATGATCTGTTATGCGGATGACGTCGCGCGAACGCGGACGAGTCGCGACGCGATCAATGGAAAGCTCCAGGATCCGAAGTCTCGACATTCCTATTTGAAAAAAAAAAAATAATAAAGAAAAGTCTCTTCCTTACGCTTTGAATCAACATCATCCAGCCTCTCGTGCTCGTGCACACGGGACTCACACGTACACGTAACGTTTTACGAACTATACTTACGCGAGAAACTATACACACGAAAGATTATACACACAGAGCAAAAAGAAAAAAGAGAAACACTATAATACTATATTCACGAAGTGCGTTTTGCCTCCAGTTCCATTTTAATCTCCTATTTGTAAACTTGCCTTCCACTCTAAGGGAAAGCCTTACATACATGCGCGCAAAAAAGATTAAAAAAAACGAAAAAAAAGAGAAACAACGTCGACACCACTTTTGTTGATATGTAAATCTATGGAGAAATAAAATAGGGATGGGGGATTAAAGGAAGTAAAGGCCACAGTGAGATCGGTGCATTACTTTTCTTCGCCCAGGGGTGCGTGCCAGTCTCGTAAAAACGGAGCCAACCAGATCGGAGAAACTGGTGTGATTTTTGTGCGATCCGTACAATATAATGTTACTTAAGAACTTGAGAGCAAAGAACATAAATGCCGTACAGCGTAAACATCATGCGTGTCGGTGGTTCAGTCATAATATATATGTAATATATATATATATATATATAAAATAATTTACGAAGAAATTAAGAAAAAAAAAATGAAAGAGATAATTCCTCCACAGTCCTTTATTATTTAATATTGAAGTGAACAAAATGAGAAGTACTTGTATTTCTGGTGACCTAGATCGCATTGATCATTAAACAAAAAAGAAAAAAAGATAAAAAAAAAGTAAAAAAGATAAAATAAATATATCCTCATTTTTAGGTCACAGCTACTCGATTCGTTTCCTTCATTACTAATGGACCTCTCGTTTCAGCAACCATCTCTTTTTGTGTTCGATGGCATCTAGATACTTTGCTATGAGAATATTTCATTGTGTCTCTGTGAACAGGATCCACTTTACATATCTCTGACTTTTCTCGCTACCCTCGAAAACTTTTGAGAAGAATAGATATAGATTACAAGAAAGTACGGTATTAATTGTAATTAGGAACTCTCGCTCCCCATTAAACACCCGAAAAAAAAATAGGGGGAGAGAAAAAAAGCACACATTGGATCTATTTGTAAACTGTGGTTATTCTGTGTCCTGAAGTATATTTCCACACTTACACTCTTTATTAAGAATGAGAAAGATTTGTCAACACACTCGTTTTGTAAAAGTGGTCGTTAGTATTCGACAGGCATCTGTATCTAAATGCTTCCAAATCCGCTTCGTTTCATCGAACACTGATACCTAGCGATTAAGTCTCTTACGTTACAAAGACTCTATTCCAGTATTTAATATAATAGTAATTTTATATCCGTATCGCAAAATCTATTTATTGAAAGAATTTTCGCGCGCCGAGGATAGATAGATAGAAAGAAAGAGAAAGCGAGCGAAAGAGTGGCGCATGGAAGCTCTTGTTGTGAACGTTAACATCGAGGCAATGCCAAATCTTTACTGAATAATATTGAAGCGTTAGCTCTTCTAATATTTAATTTAGCGTCCCCTCGATCTTTGTTATTGAAATACACGTTGTTGTTCTTAAAAAAAAATCGTTTATACCGTATTTGCGGAGGTACCAAGACACATCCTGCTTTTATCAAACGTTGTATTTATTTCGATGTGTACATACGAACGTAAAATTGATCGACGAAGTGAGTTTTCGTTCGATTATGCTAATCGAAATTTTTTAAACAAACAAGTTCGTTGCGCTACAAACAAAGTGAGAACGTTGTACGTTGCAAAATGAGGAAATACTTTTTTTTAAATCAGATTATTTCGAGCATAGAGCTCTTTTTTCTTTTTTATTACTTTAACCAATTGTAGTCATTCAATTTTAACGCTCCTTAATTTCTCAGAACTTCTAATTCAAAAATTGTTTCTAGTGTATGTAAGTATATTCTCTGCCGTATCTCAAAGGCGTTCTTCACTTCTTGTCGTACATAAATAAAGCGGCACAGTTTGTATAAAGTGTTGATATTAAGTTAATAAATTGTTCCTATATACTTATATGGGAGCAAACTGGTGTTTATCTATAATACAAGCGATTTTATCTCCCCGACAAAAACAGCCAAGTTTATCTGACGTGATGGAAAAACTGCGGGATATCTCTTACGATACACACGATTACGGAGAAAATTACAACTGCGTCATTCCGTGCAATAATGCGTCTATACGAAGAGATAAATTACGTATTGTTTTCGTATAATTACTCTTCAACAATTAACGGGCGAACTTACACAAGGTGTAGAATTGTCTTACCGAGAGATAAAACAGAGAAAAACAGTTTTTATTTATTTTTTTTTTTTGAAAAATACTATATTTTCCATACATGACTTTTTTAAACTCGTGTAACATAATAACAAAATTCGATGATTATGCAGATATGTTTTGCTAGCAGTGAACAATGCGTGCTCTCACGATAAACATTCTTTTGGTGGGACTTTGAAACGCTGGCACACCTCCTTCAGTAAGTTTTTCAATATCCTCACCTGATGCTCAGAACTCTGAAAATATATGGATATTATTTACTTACTTTCGACGCATATTGGCTTTTGAGTTAATATTTTATTTGTCGTACAAGTTTTTCAAGTATGTTAATTGGTCACAAGATAGAGAATTTCTGGAAACTCGGTAACTTGTTTTCTCTATTCTGTAGCTAATCAGCATGTTTAAAAAATTTATCGTACGACATATGAATAAAATATTAACGTTATACTTTATTTAGCGTCACGAAACGAATACTCACCCCGTCAAGGGTAATTGTTGGTATGAAAGATACCCGCGGCACGAGGGAATTCGTCATCTCTCCGTACTTTGCCAGGAGTTCCTGCCCTCTTCCAGTGTTTGAACACTTCTTTATAGACTCCAGGTCAATGGGTATTCGCTCGGCGCACGTTTTCATTATCCGTACCGGATCAATATTATTCTCGATCATACAGGCCACAAATTGCAGTTGTACCGATGGATCCTTAATGACGTCGATGGAGCAAGCGTGTATAATGTTCGCCTGACACTCGATCGGTCCGTGCTGGCATATGAATTGATACCCATCACTCGTTTTTGTCGTCTGTGTTGGAAATCGAATACGTAACTTTAGAAAGCTTGCCGTTTAACTCGATCCACTGATCTAATTGTCTCGATTAATGATTTCATTCTCGTGATATATTTAGCCGCATTAATTAAAAAATGTAACGCGGTTAATAACGAATTTTCAGGTAAAATACAGAATCATGATATCACAGAGCATCAACATGACTTACACTTATTACTTATATATATATATATAAGTAAACTTACAAATGACAAATAAGGTCATGATAACGTTCTTATGGTATTATTGATTTCTGTGTTTTACCAGGATTGGTCGCAACGGTTTTCGTACCTTCGCCTTACCATACGGCACCAGCTCAACCTCTATATTCGTTGAAAGTTTTTGATACGTTGGATTTAATTGTTTTAAAACGAAACTACGCGAATCCGGGCATAACGCTTCGTAATACACAGCCACATGTACTTTCTGAGAAGCCGGTCCATCTTTTTCGCTCAATGGTGTCGCCACTTGGTCCTGAAGTTCTACAATTAAGAAAAGAATGAAAGATATTAAAAGATTTCGATTTGAAAATAGTCTGAGATGTCTATATTAAGTGCTTTCAGGATTTTTTAATTTTTAGTTTTCAATTTTTATCACTGTTGAATAAACAATTGTTACTTCGATTTAGAATTGTTTTGCGCGAGAAATTGTGAATTGTTTTTATAATTTTAAATTCTACGTAATATTTCAATATTTCAAGAGACATTCCGAGTTCATGATATTTAAGATAATTTTTCACAAGAAAGAAAACCGCAACATTCTTTTTTGTATAATTTCTAATAAAAGCCGTAATTTCTGCGAATCATTGCTTATCTTGTAATCAGAACAATGATAAATGGACAGATTTTTTTCGTTGACTGACGTAAGTAGCGTGATTATCGTATATATTTAGCTTGATTTTTCTAATGCGTTATGTTTCTATTCGATTTTTCCTCTATGTAATTCCCGTTCGTTTTGGTTTAAAAATACGAATAAGGCGTGTGGTGTATAAATTAAATAATAAACACTTTTAAGATTCTTCACTTTTTAATAATCTGTATTTATCATTAAAACCAAAATCATTATTTCGAACTCGTGGTATCCGAGACTTAGGCCTGTTTTTTTTTATCAAAGAAACTTTTAATTACTGTATACATTGCAATAAATTGAAGTGAAATAAACCATATTTGTCTCGCTCGACGTGTAACCAGTTTAGAAAGTTCATCCATAAAAAACAACCGTGCATATCAATTTTAGTACTTCAGGATTTTTCGATTTTAGTACTTAATTTGTATCATTATGAATTACAATTGTTATTTAGATTATTTGGGATTATTCAGCGCGAGAAACTGAATTCTTTTTATAATTTCAATTTCTATATAAAATTTTAGTGCTCGAGAAACGTCCTCATTTTCCGCAAGAAAAAAAACCGCGATTTTTTTTACTTTCAGATCATACAATTAGTCATGCATACTTTGCATCTGTCCTACAGTTCCGATAGCAATTTTAGCAATTAGATTCTTAACGATTTGACAGATGTTACACAAACTGCGAGCGATCGCGTTTCAAAACTCGGCAAATGGAGGTTTATAGCAAATTTAATTAGACGCACTTATACACATGAAGTGTGTTATAGTGCGTCTAATTGACGTTGTAGAGCTGTACACTACATTTTAATCCGAATGTGTGTGTAAAATAAAATGCAAATATTTAGAATTATAAAATATATTTTACCTAACAGCACAATCTCACGAAATATATCAAGTCAAGAGAAAGTCGAAGTGACATATTTTGACGTTAAAATGATGTTTTTTTATAAAATTTGATTATTTATTGACTTTAAGCATCAAAATATAAAATACAATTTGATGCCGTTTTGATTTTTTGTCGACTCTTGTGTATTGGAATAAAGTGTATTCAAGATTTCATGTTTTAACTTGGTTTCTATATTTTATATATATCTATAAATATCTTTATAACGCATATCTTTACATTTTTTTTACGACGACTTTAATGTGTTCACTGCGTTCAATCGAATTCGCTACACATTTAGACGCGAAAAGATCGCGCCACTTCAAAAATCTCAGATATAACGACTCGAGCAAAACGACAAGTCATCATAATATCAAAATGATGTCAAAATGATTCTCCAACATGATCATTAAAAGTCATTTTTCAATCATTCACGGTTCATTTTCATATCATTTTGACGTTATCGTGACTTGTTCTGTTTGGAGATGTGCTCGTCGAACGGCAAATTGCACAATGAGGTAATCACGAAAAATCCGGCTAGAAATATCAATCTGTGGCCTTCGATTGTGAGATACATACGTTGTTTTTATCGTACCAATGTATTGAAAAAAAATACACCTGTGCGATACAGATGTTTCCGTAAAGTGTATGATGTGCATAATTTATCATTTATCCTTGTTTAACATTCGATGAACAAAGATAAAATAACGCATTACGTGCTTTACGGAATGTAGTCAGAGTCGTATGAATTGATATCGAATCACCGGACTACAACATTATTGGAAAAAGCCTTGTATTAATTGGAATTCTCATTGAAAATGAACACACACACAAATCAGAATTTTCTGATTAATAATCCAATAATATAATTCTAGCTGAGATAACCAAAATTCTGTTTGATCATTCACTTTGTCAATCTTTTTCTAATTCTTGGAATTAGAAAAATATATAAAGTTAGTTGAATCTGGATTATAAACTACGTTGAGATAGAAACTGGCATCAGTAAAAAAACGATAATTCCTCGAATTTTTCAAAAAGATACGGCTTTGAGGAGCGTCCATTAAAGACCTCTTAGAGAGGATCGACGGATTAGTCATCATAAAACTTTTTTCCTAGAATATGGAAATATGAAAACTGAAAAGTAAAAATTTTTTACATGTACGTGCGTATATGTACGTACATACATAAAAAGTTTCACGTTTCCATATTGGGGGAAAAAAGTACGTGATGACTGCTGGCCGGGATTTAACGCGCGCTGTTAACATTCCTCGTCGCGCTAACGTGCCTCCGTATGTCTGGTGACAGGGAAAAAAAATCGATTTGTCGAACTCGCGTGAATACAGGCAGGTGGAGATCGAGCCTCGAGGTGCGCGCGACATGCCGCCGATTGCCGCCTGTTCGGCGGCGACAGCAGGCGACAGGTAGCGACAGGTGCAAAAGGCGAATGAGAGCGAATGGGAGAGAGAAAGAGCGTAGCTCGCGCGCGGCGCCCCTCGTTACTTCGTACCTGGCATGGCGGCGCCGTCCTCCAGGAACGCGAGCCAGATCTTGGAGGTCTGCCAGAGCAGCAGGCCAAGGACCAGAAGGAACACGAGGCGCCATCGAAAGCCTAACCCCATCGTCCCGGCTGTTGTCGCGGCAAGAGACGCGCACGACTCTTCGCGCGGCGACGGCGGCGACGACGGCAGCAGCAGCGGCGGTGACGCCGCGACGGCGATTTCGTTAGCGCGGACTGACGCAATGTTTTCTATCTAGTATTAAACGCGCCGGCGGCGACGGCTGTAGCGACGGCCGACATAGCGATTCGACACGTTGGGACTTGGGACGCGAGCGAAATTACAGCGGGATGTTCCGTCGACGTTCTGCTCTGGTCGATTGATCCTCGTCCTCGTCCTCGAGCACTCTTGCGGCAATTTGGCCAACGCCACGCGTGCCAACGGGATTTAACGACCGCCACTGTGTCGAATAGAATGTTCTTTCCTTCTTGTTTTCGTTATTTTTTTCACCTTTTCTCGCAGCATCATCGCACGCAGCGTCCGCAGTGATGCGAGCACTCGTGCAGACGTCGATTACATTAAAGCCCCTATTGGAGAATGGAGTTTGGAATATTCGGAGATTTTGGAGTAATCGGAGTGCGCACTGCGCATTGAGAGTTGCCGAGTTGGAGAGTAGATCTTCACCAATCGGATAACTTTGAGCTCGGTCCGCGTTGTATCGATTGAGCGGATTTTAATTTCCGATTCTCACGATTTCCTCGATCTTCGAAAATATTCTTCTTCCTCGGATTTGCGTTTTGTTCTTTTCCAATTTTTGTATTTATTTTTTCTAGACACGTTATATTTATTTTGTTGACCGAGTACTGTTCTAATAACAAATTCAATCACTTGTATTTACTCTTTCCGAGGTCACAAAAAACTTCTGATCATTAATTACAATTTTACATTTATAAAACTATACTAATAAGAATTGTCAATAAAAATTGTTATACAAATTTTATATTATTAAATACCAACATTTGATGTATAAAAAATTATGTCCTCTCCTATCCACGAATCATCTTTTTTAAAAATGTATACACATGTTTTTTCTTGTAATTCAGATATAGTAATTTTATTTGCATTATATTTAGATAGAGATGACTCATCAATTATCACTCACACAATTAATGAATTTTCCATTGAAAATCCTATTCTGAATAGTATAACACATTTATATTCGGTAGCTAGTAAATGGTGGGGTGCTCAAGTATACATTTATTTATAATGGCACCTCGATGTTTTAAGAGGGGAAACCCCACAAGTTTATTTAATTTTTTTGTAGTAATTTTGTTAATCTCATTAATAATTTGATTAATAAAATCAATATACATCGAGTTTCTATGATTAATAAAGATTTTAATAACAATAGTGATATATGTTTTATAGTGTCACAATTTCTTCAATTTTTAAATGCAGATTATCATAAGGAAATTTAAGTAAGCGCAGTATAGGTAATACGTAAATAAAGTAAGTATACAATACAAGAAGTAAATAAGTTTTTTAGTGAGATAACAAATTATACATAAATGCACTTCCAATTAACTTCTAAACAAATTATGTATTGTAAATACACTTCGTTATCGTTTGTAAGAATGTTATAAATAGTACAATAACTCTAACTTTATAATACTATAACATTTTTTTATTCTGTTATATATAAAAAATTTTAATATTATAAAGTTATATATATATATATATGTACAACACACACACACACACGAGTAGAATATAAATAAAAAAAAGAGTAGAACTTCTTTGTATCATATATATGTACAAAATCTGTTAATTCATTTTACATCTGCACCAAAATAATAGAAATACTAATTATTATAGATTCACGAATCATGCGAGCAGAGGATTTATACGGATTATAATTAAATGTTAAGAGTTTATTTAAAGTTCAAACAAATAATTCACGAAAGAATAAGAACTAATTCTACGTGAATTTTAAAAAATCGCGTAAATCTTTTATGTAGTTTAGAATAATAATTTTATTTTTACATTTAATTTTTTAAGTTAGTTTTCTTCATTATATATTTACATATTAAAGTTTTCCTCGAGAAAGCAACACGATGATTATAAACTAATAGTATGAAGGCTTTCAGCGAGTTCTCGCAGATCATAATTACTTTTTTTTATTATAATATTGTCCAGATATTACAAAAATCTGATAAAAATACAAGATATAAATATATTGCTTCAGAGACGGTCAACAGTTGTCGCCGGCGTCTCAAACCTAAAACATATTTGGTGAAATGTAACAAAATTGATAATTTCACAATTATATAATTGGGACTATTGCGCAAAAAAACTTTGACATATAATAATTATTTAATACTAAATCACATAATTAAAGATTAATAATAGTACAATTTTTTGTTATTGGTTCTTACAATATTATAATTCTAAAGTGAGTTTTAATAAAAAAGTTCAATTATATATTATAAAGTTTATAATTACAATTAATTTTAATGATGATTAATAATTAATTGGGTTATTTTATTAATTAATGAGGCATTTAAATTTCAATAAAGTAATTTTATTAATCAATTTCTAAAAATAAATCGGTAATTTAAATATAAATTATCAATTGGCAACTGATTTACTTGCATGGTCTTGTTATTGTTGTCCACAAGAGCAAGCGACGATTACTCGACGATCAATTTTTTATATCACTTTTCATAATTTTTGTCTCATCAAGGAGATTATTTTACTTAAATTTAGTTTCCTATGTCTGCTAGCTCTGCGAGAAATGATTTACATTTATTCTGGAGTACTTTAACGGCTTCTGTGAATAGCACGGCCGGTGGTAATGTTCCCACAGATTCTATGGTGACTATAAATTAAGTACACACAATCACACAAACATAAATATATACATATATATATTTATATTACATAATAAACTTTCTAACTGTCATAAGCTGTAGCTTCAACTTGTCCAAAAGAAAAAATAATTCGTATAACACAATGACTGTAACTCAAATCTTAATTAATTCTTTTTCAATGATTCTAGATTATTTATACTTACAGATAAAATGATCCTTTATCCTACTCATTTCCACACAATTCTTTAGTTGATCGTAACGATAGACGTTTCTGGAACAACTATCGTAACGGGCATTTTTAACACGCGCCTCCCGATACTTCTGACCTGAGTTTGTCTCTTGTTCTACTACTTCTATCACGCCAGGGCTGAAACAGCTCTTCAAAAGATCCGCGTCTTGATCCTTCACGGGTTTAATTAGCTGAATGACTGGTAAGAGGCGATATGACGCAGTAGCTAAACATATTATATAATATATACTGACATAAATAATTTATTTTAAATTTAATAATTAAAAAAAACATTGTATTTGTCTATTTGTTTAATTTATGATATTTATATTAGAATATGAGAACTAAAAAAATGTTTTGTTTGCAAAATTCTTACGTACCTACGGGAGAAAATTTAGCGTGATCTTTGCCAATGCCTTTAACTGCATGCATAAACAAGTGGATCTCATGACCAGGACGCATTTTACATATTAATATGTCGTTTTCTAAAATACCAATTTGTTCCGCTTTAAACATCTCTGCTTGCCGGCCTATTGGTACCCATTTAATGTCCTTACTGTAAACTATAAAAAGAATACTATATGTTATGTATTTTATTTATTATGTTCAGAAACTAATATAATATTAGGTCTTCTAAACTAACATAATATTAGCATAATAGGTCTTCTTTGTCGCTGTACTGAAGTACACTAAAATTTTCTCGCTTTTGCTACTTCAAATATATATCAATTTCAATTTAAGCATAATATAAAAATAATAACGATGTAAGAATATTAATTTTTTATTATTGTTAAAATCTTTTGTGATAATTTTAAGTATATATTAATTCAGCTAGAAAGAATAAACCTATAAATTTATGAAAGTCAAATCGTCTTTAAGATGTTCAACAGTTTAATGACAAAAGAGTTTCTTATCAGATGGAAAACTTAGGTTCAGTTTCTGTCCTATCATTTCATACATAATTAATGGGAAAAATATAACATTGTGATTAAAATAACGCATGATTTTACGTGATAGTGATTGACTTATGATTATAGGTTTTGAATTTGATGTCAATTATGTATGTTTTGGTTTTACAAGAGATTGGAAAGTGCAAAATTATAAAAAAAAGAGTATGAGATAAGTGATAAAATTCTACTTAGAAATTTATACATTTTATTTACATATTTTATTGTGATTAAGAAATTAAATAAACAAGAGTGTTTTAAAAAAATTATTGAAATCTGATTAGTAAAATCGAAAATTTTATAATAATAAGAAATTCAGTGAAGTACCTTTGCTATTTTTGTACATATCCTCTGGAAGACGAGAATTCTTAGGTGCTTGTGGATTCATACTGCACGTAACTTTCAACTCGTATCTTAGAGTATCATTATCACTGACTGTATCATCTGTTTTTTTGTCGTTCGGAGGATATTCGAATAATCTAGGATCTGCACGAAGAGGTACAAGCCCCAATCTTAAAAGCAAATTACATGTTAATTTGTTATAAACAATTTTCATGGACATAAAAACAGAAAAACCTTGTTATTTCTCTCACCTATGTGCAAGTACTTCATCTTGAATCAAGCTAGTATTATTTATGATATAAACCTTCTCAATAGCCATACTTGGTACTTCACTCAGTAATATCCTGCGAAATGCATTAGCTAGCGAAATATGACAGCCAATTATATCAAATTCTATTTCTCGATCTTGTTCTTGAACTATATTTATTTTCAGGTTCTACAATAAGAAAAATATTTTTACTTGCACATATTGATATACATATTAATACATAAAATATTGTTCTCTTTATTACAATATGTTACCTTTACAAATTTCTCCAGCGTCATTGATCTATCTGTCCTATTACACATATATTCCTCAAACTGTTGAAACAAATTCATATTATAAATACATTGTATAAAAAGCAAAATGCCTTTAGTGAATCCTACTAAACTTACATTTTCATATTCTTTCATAATCCAACGCGGTTCCTGATTATTCTCCATTGTTATATAAATTATACTTCGGCAACTGAGATTTATATTGTTTTTTCTTCTTCTTTTTAATAAGAAGTACTAGACTATCTACTTGTTTCTTTAAATATTTTTCTTAATTTGCACCACTCTCACACACTTTGCTGTTTTTTTTTAATAATTCTTACTTTTGAAATGCTTCAGCAGAGAGCTGTAATGAATTTTTTTTATTAAAATTCTTGAACAGAATATTAATTTCTACAGAAACTAACAATTGAGAATCTTAATAAAAATGAAGTGTTTTTTACTAAATACAGACTAACTAATCGATAATTAAATTGTCAAATAAAATACTTATTTTTTATAGTTATAATTTTTATTTAATATAGAAACAAACAATTAAATTAGGGATGACTAATTATAGCAGGAAATTTTAATATAGATAGATATAAGTTTTAGCCGGTTGAGTTAATCGGGATTTAGTTGAAAATCACTGACTCAAGAGAGTAACACAAGAACTGAATGTTAGAATAACGCTAAGTTCTCGTGACACCTTTATCGTGTGCAAAACCTAATAAACTCCAAAATCTATGAAGTTATCCCATGAAAATGAAAAACATAACTGGATTCCCGCGCACATTGTCAGTTAATTGTCAGTTTATTTTAACTCAACCTCATATCTCTACTTCGTTATTTCATCCGATATTTGAATAACGAGACGATACATTGCGGAAATAAATTATACTTTACCCAAAAGATATTTCAAATATTCTCAAACTGGAATGAGAGAACAACCACATGTCTTAACACTACCCAATTATCGGTCGCTTTTCTATTATGCCAAAGCAAAGCATCAAATCACGCCAAACTAGTTGGACTCCAAGTCTAAAGGAGCAGTGCTTTTTGTTAGAGCAGAGTTGCTAGCATGCTCTTTTCTGCGCATGCGCGATATTTCAGTGATGAATTCAGTAATATACGCATTTACGTAATTTTATTATGCATATTTTTTTATCTGCACTTTATGTTTTCAAAAAGAACTTAATCTCGCTACAATATGTCATTAATTTTATAATATAATTCTATGATACAATATTAGGTTTGTTTGGGTTGCTTGAAATCCCCAAAAATGTTAGCACTTAAAAAGGGATAAATATATATTCAGGCGTTGAAAAGAGAGAGAACGACGATGTCAAGTGCAAAAAGTTCAAGAAACGCGAATAGACCGAATAACGCACCACATGGGTTGTCCTATTGGTCAAAATTTGAGGCAGAAAGGGAGAAGAACGAGAGAGAGAGAGAGAGAGAGAGAGAAGAATGAGTGCAAGTGCAAAGGATAAACGAGAAAGTGCAAGTAAAACTGACAGCAAGTATGTGTCACTTGTATGCTTCAGAATGTCAATAAGAATGTATTAACGCGTAATTTGAGTTTAACACAGACGAGATTCGCGATTATGGTCGATTTGCACGAATATAGAGAGAACGTACGACAACTCAGACAATACGCGGCCATTCACAATGTATCGGAGGCGCAAACGTCGGAAATATTTCAAGCTTGTTTTAGACAATTGGAAGCCAAGTACTCGAAAAAATCGAAGAAACAATCGAAGTCTCTGCGAATTATTTTATCACTCGTTTTTATCTCCATTATACTGTTATGCTTATGCCAAAGCTGGTTAAACGTTATATTTATAAGAATCTCGCAAAACTCCATTTATCCCGCTTTATATACGTTGCGTAAAGCGGCTGTACCAATTGTCAGCCAATATCCGTCGCTATCTGGTTTGTAATCCTCGAACGATTAGTTTATTAAACTTTTTATTAGAATAATATAAAAAGTTATAGTATAAGAGGAAGTATCTTAATGTTTACATATTTAATAATATTTATTACTCCAGAATTATACGACGAATGGTGCTTGATAGAGAATCCATACTTCTACATCAATGATATGGACTGCTGGCCTTGCACTATGGTCCATTCTGTACTAGATTTAACTGGTCACAATATCAGCAGATCCTTTAACGTCGGTATACCATATACTAGAGCAGAAAATAATACAACTATCAAGATGAAAGATCTAGTTAATTTATATTGGAGCAACCAAGATGTCTTTGATAAAGATGCTAAAAGAATTTTTTCCACCAATGAAACTTTTAAGTAAGAGTTTTCACGTATACTGTTAGAAATTTCGTTATAAATTTAAGTAACATGTAAAGGAAACTTGTGATTATATTATGAGATAATTGAAATAATAAAATGGTTTAACTGAAAACTAAGTTACAGTAGTTTTAAATAAATGTGTGTATTCAATTACATGCAAATCTACATAAATCTACAAATTTTATGGAAAGTACGTTAAATTTCATACTTTTCATATACCTTTCAGTTACCAATACATTAAATTTAACGTAATGTTATGAAATTAAACTTGTATAGTTTAAAAATATATTAAATTTCATGATATTTTTAACAGTATATTCTCTAAAGTCTTTGGAATGGAATCTCACTCTAAAAATTGAAAGTGTCAGAACTTTCAATCATTAAAAGTGGAATTTTACTCTAAAAAGAATTTAGAAAGTATATTAATTCAAATTTGACAGAATTTCTAATTATATGACATCTATCTGATCAAATTATATGTGTTATATGTTTGCACAGAACTATCCGTGATGTTATGGATAATAGATTGGATATTTTCCACACTGCTTCTCTTGCTACTCACATATCTTGGAGAATAAACCGTATGAAGCCCAATAGAATACTCCGAAAGTTATTTCTAAAGCCAGCAGAGACTCCGAATTGGTGGAGTCAAGGCACAGAGAAATATATTTTCATCGACGAGTCGGAATCACCGCCTTATCCATTGGTAGGTAATGCATTCTAATTGTTATATCTTAGCAGGTCTTAGCTAAGTCAATCCATGAATTTTTAGCCCAATCCTGAGTGTAGCAATATTGTGATACGATGCGTAGCTGGTGCAAGACTGATAAAAATGACACCAAGCTCGGAATGCGTTCAACATTGTAAATCTTCGATCATCTTATTGTCCGCTGGACATACATGTGAGTATTAGAGACCCTAAATGATCTGCGCTCTTTTTTTTTATTTCTATTTTATTTATATTGTACATTTTATTTTCTTCTTTTATGTTCTTAAGTATGGTACAATTGGTGGTATTGGAGACCCGTGAGTCTACCAGTGTATAATGCTACTGCTCTTTCTATTGGTTATTTAACTTCGTTTTGTTAATATCACCGATAGGAAAAATATTGTAGATATGTACCACAACAATGTAGCTAATAATGACAAAGCTATATTTAATAAAATTTATTAAGTTTATCTGCATTTTTCCTTCGTATTTACGTTAATTTCAAATATTGATTCGTGTATATAAGATTGTTTGCAGATTTAGATTTCTCGAGTGGAGTATTATTTCTGACAATACAATAACGTATGAAATAAAAAATCAAATTCAGCACCCTATCAACAAAGAATTTCCTGAGATCATTTCCTGGCATAATATATTGTCTAAAATATTATCTAGGCATATTTGTAACACTCATAATAAAATAAGTCTGTTTCCACTTTCGCCTATATTTAGTTTACATTTTTAAATGTCTCCACATAATCTAAAACACACTTGTAGAAATAAATTACAAACAACAATAAATAAGTTATGCGAAAATTGTTGTGCTCGCAAGAATTTGTCGTACTATTTTGTACGTATAGTACAAACATGTGTCCAAATGCAAACAACTACATGGTGCGAAAAAGCGGATCCCAATTCGCATTTGATATAATTTTTTTTTCAATTTCCTAAGAGATTATCAGTAAAAGATTCTGCTCCATGATAGGAAAGTTTTCCTCGTAAAATATCGGATTATCACCTTGATGGATATCGTCAATGGAGCATTCTGGCGTTTACTCGAACTTCTGCTTGAGTTTCTGCTTGTACAACACAGGTAGGAGGGAAAACAATGCAAACACACACAGTACGATTACACTATTCCACGACCACGCATCGCTCGACGATGTGAGATTGTGCAACGTTTGACCCGCCTGTATGGCGACGAAGGAAGGCGGCGCGACGCCGAAGAAGGTGCCGACAGTGAACGGCATCATCGGCACACCGATCACCGGGCTGGCTAAATTGATGAACCAGTTTGGCAGTAACGGCGTCATCCGGAGGAACAGCATATAGTTTAGTAGATTATCACGATGTTTGGTCACGGTAATGGTCCACTCGTTTGCCTTTTCTGGAAAGTATCGGTACAGCAATCGCCTGCCCAGCAATGAGGACAGCAGGTAGCACAAAGTGGCGCCGATCGCGCTACATGTACATACAAGTATCAGCGCGACCGGGAAACGGAACAAAAATCCGGAAAGAATTGAGAGAAAAATAGAGCCAGGAATGGCAAACGTTTGCAGGCTATTGAGATATGATGTAAGGAACACATTGTGTATCTTAATAGGATCTTTTTCGGAAATTGTTCTGATACCTAAGTTGAAGTGAAACAAATACAAAATACGGTCAATATCTCACTGCAAATATTGCATTGATTGAGCTAATAAAAAAAATTTACTAATTGTTCCATCAAAAAGAGCTTTGAAGCGTTTGTAGCATAATATTGACTGTACAGCTTGTTTTATTTCAACTTATTACTCCAATGTACACCAATTAAGAATATTTTTCGAAAAAGGACAAATTAAAAGTAAAGATATGTGACTAGAATATTCAAGGATACAAGATGTAGATGATAAACAGTCCGGCCAATACTTGGAAGTAATATAAATCCTTATATCGTTCTAACAGTTTTCCCAAATTCTTGGCATCTTCTATGTGAAGCGGTAACTTCATATGCTGCCTTTCATCTCTACAAAAAGAATACACAAAGGCGCAATTATTATATCCAATACAATGTACAAAGCGTGAACACAAAGATATACAGATGAATGACTGTTCTTACTCTTCTAAGTCTGGAAAACTGGTGTACACATAAAATAACGCAGTCAACGAGGCCACAAAAATGAGTCCAACAGTTATTACTGCTCTTCTTGTCGAAGCTTCACCATTGGCTGCTTTGGGCACTCCTACAAAGAATATAAAAATTTATATACTTATAAATTAAATATATTTAATATAAAATTTAATTTTTTAACCTTTCTATTACAACTTTCGTGACAAAACATAAAAAGAAAAGAAAATATATTTTAGCTACATTTGGTTTTGCAAATCGGAGACATCCGTAATCATTCTATCCTTGTTCACTGAATTCGGAGCTTCCGATTTGCGAAATCAAACGCAGCTATTACACTTAGTTTCAAAATAAAAGAGAAACTAAAATACATGAAATTAAATATTAAGGATAAATCGAAAAATATATCAAACCTATAATAGATATATAAATACAATAAGTCACATAAATACAGAGGGCCACGTGGATTCATTGATATTTTTGTTTACTCGGCTATCGTCGAATTACTTACGCGCTTTTACACGTGTCACTTTGAGATTGCGTCGCGCCATTTCTGATATGCGTGCACGTTTGCTGATCGACATCTAAACACGCCACTTCCCGGCACATTTCCCTCGCAAAAAGCAATCACGCGATCGCGATGTCTCACCTGATCTCACGTCAACCTGCGGGCTCATCGTTCGCCTTTCTCCGGATATCGCTTTCGCGAACTCGGTTTCTATAATCCACGCGTTTTCTCGTTCAGTCTCGTCTCAGTGCATGTCGTACGAATGCAACTGACGTGTAATATCGGTGTCAGAACGGCTGCACCGTCGCGAGAGGGATTTTCGAATCACAAGGCTGATAACACAGCTTCCTTCGCTTTTAGCGAAAATCAGCTGACAGCCTCGTGT